GTTGAGACCTCTTGGTGAAATGGCTGAAAATTGGTCACAATGATACAGCTTGGACATTTTCATTAGCTTAGATCTTTTTTCCCACATATACTTTTGCATACTGTTGTAAAGTTTGGCAACTTGAACGGATGGACTTGTGTGCGAGGTTCTACATTGATCTTGTCTGTTTGTCTCTGTCTTGCGAAGATAGGAAAATAATGGTAATTCATGTGATGAAATGCAACACATCCGTTACGCTAAGGGTAATGTGTGAATGTAAGTGAGCCACTGATATCGATTATTGGGCCATTTCAGTTAGCCTCTCCTACCACCGATTTCTGTTGTCATGTAGATCCCAACCGACAATTATCCATTTCCATCCACGACTTAAAACAACAGTCAGAAACTTCATGAACTACCTTCTTGATCGGCTTATCCTAAGCTTTCGTCTGATCAAATCCAATCTCACCTAACATTGCGTGTCAAGGCAGGCACGCATAACTTTTCCAAGACACTGGAGTCGATGAAGGTTTACACCGTTATCAACCGCCCTAAATCTTTTACCTAAGACTTGATATCGTAATTCTATATCAGTGACATGTTGTGCCATAAAAACTGGTCGACCGATCACCTAATGTTTTTTTCATGTCGTTTACCTTTGATAAACATGTCTGAAGGCCATCAAGTATGACTGAGTAAAATTGCTGCACAATACATTATAGACCAAACTGTGTACAGCATGATCTATTGCAGTAGTAATTGCGATTTTGAGTATAGACCGACACGCATAAAACTTCAACATATATTACCTCACACAGAAGTTCATCGGTTCAAGTTACCACACTTCACACCAATATGCAAATGATTAGTGGGTAGAAAAAGAGATATCAAAGTAGAACAGAGGTGTATGGGAAGAAAAAGAATTTGAAAATGAAGGTTAGTGAAAATGCTCAAAGTTAAAATGCCAAAGAGTGAATACATCAGAGCCTTGCTAACTGATTTCCAGTTATTTCTCAATCACTGATTCCATTTATCTCGAAGACCTTCCATTTCCTCAAATAGCTCAGACTTCATGGACAGGTGCCACCTTCTAGCCTGGCCACACCAAGCCGTCTACTAGCCTGATCTAACTTCGGCTAGCATTGCACGTTAACGTAAGTAGTGACTGAGCCTGGCTAACACATAATCAAGTTACCTCAGTCGTCGAAAGTTCACAAACTCATCGACCGAATAGACTATCTTAGCTGGTATCCTTCGCTTAATCTTCACATCGCCAACACGGTGATTCCACGATATGTGAGCAATACTGAAAAAATACATATGATCAAAAGCCTGTATTCTAATTATATGGTCAACTTTCAACGGCTACGTCTCAGCCCTATAATAGATCAAAACAGTGAACCTCCAAGGAGCTGCGTAAGAAAGTTTAGTACTTTTCATAACTCATCACCGAGCAGTTTTGATTGATAGAACTACGACATTTTCCAGACAGATAGGTGACAACTTGATAGAGTGGTTGGACTTACATATCGCATTAACCCGACAAACTCCACTAGCTGGAATCCTTTTCCCTTCAGGCCCTAATGTACCGTAGAATTGTACTGCATACTAGTAAGACATAAATCACTTACGGACACATTGTTAGTTGCTACTTTATGTTGGCGATACGAGGATGAATTCGAACTACTGAACAGACATGATGAAATAGAAAAGAGGTGTTCCACACGGGTGACCAGCACTGGCACTCTGATGCTACCTTTCCAATACCAAAAAAAAGTCAGAAAAGGTTGATCCCGAAATAGCACACTCCTAAGTGCATTGAGGTATTCCGGTAACAAGGGTACAGATTTACCCCATCGGGCGTTAGAATAATCAAATCTTAAATCAACCAGACGTCCCTCAGGCTTCATGGTCATATAAATCCTCCTACAGAAACAACTCTCACAATGTAACCAGCTGGAAAGAACCAACCATCATCCAATCCACACACTGACTGTACTATACCAAACCCAGTCAAATCTAAACTACTCTCCTAACACTCATCTCATCATTTACCTTCACTTCTCTTACCAATATTACGCCTCTTACAACTTACACTCTCACCCTGCGACCCTTGCCAACGATCCCAGTCAGCAAATCACCCTTCTTAGGCTCTTAATACCTCGCTATCCATTTCACATTGGAGCTTCCAACATCCGAATCCTATGCCAAATCGGACAACAAACACTTCCAGCCAGAAACTGTCGAATCTGGAGACATGGATGTATGTTATGTGTCCGAGATATATACACAGTACCCGACCTGAATGTGGTTATTCACTTCACCTTAACTCACTCACCTGGTCAATATGGTGAATCTGCTAACTTCGCTTGAAGGGTGTTCAGAGATTCAATGGCTAGCTCTCGTGAACTCCCTGGCGTACAAATAGGATTAAATTGTAGAGCAAGAAGTGCACTTCTTGACTGGATTCTGGTCAGAAACCGTCTTTCTGCTGTCCCAATATGAGAACCTCAAGTGCATATTGAAGCGAAAGATAGCTATACGTTCATCTGAACGTGACAGCGACTCTCAACCCAACGTAAGCTGGTGTGATATTCAGTCTGTGAAGACAGTCGGTAGCCTATATCCATAGGTTAGCAAGCATCGGTAAACTTCCGCAGTGTCCTGCGAGGTGATTGGTGTAAGAAGACTCATTGCAGCTGGCTCTGACTTCACTGAGGAGCGAAAGCAGCTCTTATGTAGATTCACTCAAATCATTCGTAGTGATCGTGACCAGTGGTGGTGGGAGAAAGTGATGGTGAAGACATCAGATTAGGTAATACTCAGCGATTGCTTAGGCTTATTATGAACACCAGCAATAATAACATATGCAGTGAGACAATGAGATACGGATCGGTTCATGATCATCTGGCAGCACAGCCTGGGATAAACTTTCTTTGGGACACTTTGAAGAACCGTCCAACTGGCCCACGACAACACTTCAGTTGGTCAGCATGCAGCAAGAACCTGAATGGGACGTAGATTTTAGTCCTCCATCTCTTGAGAGGATTGTTTCGAACGTGAAACGGTGCAAAGCAGCGAGGGCTGACAGATTGCCATCCAGATTTTTATGATATAAGAAATGACTAAGTATAGTAAGGAAGGTACTAGGTACTGTATAAGAATCGGAGATAATTCCACCAGACTAGTCTACTTCATTGGTCTTTCAGTCTATGGGGTTAGGCGGAACGGAAAGTCTGTAATTCTGTGTTGATCAGACTAAGCCACTGCCTTCCTTACCGTGCAATGTTAGCCTCTGCTTACTCTGATATGTCTTTTTCTTCCCGCTTATCATTTGCATATTATTGTGAAGTGTAGTAACTTGAACCGATGGACTTCTGTGTGTGGTTTTATGTTGAGGTCTTATATATATCGCTCTATTCTCCTGATCATTCAGATGATTTTTTCCAACTGATATACAGACAAAGAACTTGCTATAGCAGTAGATGTTGTATCGTTATGAAATAACGCCGTTCTTGAGATGCAAACATTTTGCTTTTTTCGACGTATGCCTCAAAATTTTTTCGCAAGCATTGCAATTTTGATAGTAAGAGGAATCGCAGTTTTATGAAGTCTGTTTAGTTTGTTGATTGCCATCTGCGATGGATTATTTTTTTAAATTGCTATTAAATATTTATCACTATTGTGATTAAGATTCTGATTGCACTACCTGAATATCTCTGTACTGTAGGTGATAGTTTGCGAATTTTAGACTTATTTAACTTCAGTTTTTTGTCAACCCTATTACCCCTGTAAATCGGCTTTCCTCATCTTGCATCCATTTGAGATTGCAACTGTCATCATTATTATTACTACTTTCTTGAAATAGGAATAGTAAATTCTGAGTCTTATGTTCCCTATCTCATTTATTACATTTCATTACTTGATGGCAGACTACTTAGCCATGTAACAGCAAAGGATGCGGGCATCATTTTGTCCACTGTCTGCAAACTACTCTATTGTCATTATCTGACTATTTTGTTACTATATAGATGTGATTTGGCTTGGTTTTCTATATTTCAAGGTTTTGATCATACTTTCTCAACTCATGAACGTGTTTCTTGCCTCTCACTGGTCGTAACTACTTTGGTTGCACTGTGTGTGTGTGTGTATATATTGATTGCAAGAAATTGGCAAGAAACCCTAATTGATCTGATTTTTGTGCACGTTATCCGTTGCCAACTTCTTGCGTATTCAGTAGCGATCTGATCTACTCAATGTGTCTAAAGTATCTAAAAGTAATGTAGCTCAATAATCAAATGCAGGTTTGTACGCTAGGCTATTACCCAGAGCTATTGTGTTGTGGATAGTGTTACTACCTGGCTGCCGAAATCTCAATAGGTGGGACGCTGTTTAAAACTGTGACCTATCGGGTGAAAGCTGAACATCTATATTCCTTTTATGTTGATGGAACTTCTTAAGCCGGATGTTAGGTATTCTTTGTGACAAACATTTGGTTTAAGTGCTTGAGTACTAGCTTAACGATGCAAAAGTTGTTCGCAAATATGCAAAAATGTTTTCTCACTGTTTACTGAAAAAAAAAAATTAAACTCGTAGATATTTTGTACATGTTTATGCACTAGACAGTTAGTCACACTTATTGTGTGAGGTCTAATGATAATAGCTGGTTGGTTATACTTCGGTAGGTGGAGCGGGGTTTGAACCCGTAACCCATGAACCGCTAGTTAGAAGTCATCTATCGAGACTAATGAGTTACAGCCTCACTTTTTTGATATCCTGTCAACCTTAGGCTATAGTGATACAATGTCTTTTGTAAACCACTTATTGCAAGTCATTAGTCTTTATTCTGATTATGTTGAAACCAATCAAATCACAATACACACTAATACGGTTAGTTGGATGTTATTCACCCATTTCCAACTAACTGCTCAATAGAATATTCTGAAGAACTTTTCCACATCCATGAATAGTAGTATCACAATATGTAAATCATGTTATTTTTATGTTTTTCCCTTTTCTAGTCTGTTCATCGGTCGAGTCATCCAGGTCCTTCTATGCCGTGTAGTCTGATTCATCCAGTACATGGCGAGTTAATATGGATTGTAGATAAAGCTGCTGCTAGTGAATTGAATAAATGACGTTATTGTCATTTATTTTGTGTGTGCCTATTGCTTCCACATCATGTCCACTTGTGTGATACAATATATTTATTTACATGTGTGGCATTTTTAAAATTTGGTCTTATTGACTTATACTATGCATAGAATGATGTTTAGGAATTGAAATCCTATGCCATTTATTTTGTTTCGTGTGAAATAAAACACTTAATTTTGTTAATTCTCCTTGTTCTTCACGCATAAAACTGGTTCATCTGAATCAAGTTTGATTCTAGCACTTCCTAATGTAGTAGATTATCCTACCTACCGGTGGACGACACTTGCCATATTTGTTGACCTGAAGGCGGCATTTGACTCCGTCAATTGTGGGGTGTTATGGCAGTGTCTGACTGTGAAGGGAGTACTAAGAAAGTATACAATACTGATTAAAGCTCTCTACTCGAACTCAGGCAGCCATGTCAAAACTTATGGAAAGTTGTCATATGAATTGACGACAACTAGTGGTGTTCGTCAGGGTTACTATTTATCTCCGTCATAGATACGCTAATGGACATAACCTAAGTTACGTCTGATACCACAGGGAGTGACCTACTCCCTAGATGTTATCTGGTTGACTTGGATTGTGCAGAAGATATTGTCCTGCTAGGTAAAAAAGCTGACAAAATGTGACGTCTTGCGAAGGCGTTGGGCAGAAATCTGAGCATGCATTTAGCACGTGTCAACTGTAAGATGATGCTCCAGGACTAGTTTATTGTAAGAAGTGGTGGAATGTGTCGACCACTCCACTTGTTTGAAGAGTTGCATCAGTCCGAACAGTCTGGTTGCTGACGTAATCTCAACTGAGATACAGAAGGCCCGTTTTGAATTTGCCAAACCTGTGTACCGACGACTCAGCTGCGTATCAACGTTCGAATGGATGTTGGTAAGTTGAAATACATGTATGTATTCTAGTAACTTCAACTGTACTTATGTATCTAATGCGATCCTATTGTTAACACTTGCATGGTCTAGTTACCCTAGTGGATGATGATTTGTTGAGCTTTTAAAATCTGAAGCTTGATCTTATTCCAATGTTCCACTATTCTGTGAGGCTGGAAAACCAAGAAAACAATGTTATAGTGACAGAATCTTGATTCCCTACCATTTGGCATATACTCATAGAGTATTCGACAAATGTTGTTGCCTGTATTATCCCGTCGTTGAGTGAACCGAAGTGATCAGACTCTAGTGTCACATTGGTTCCTGCACGGATGCCTCGATATTGCCTGTGTTTGTATTATATTAACGATGGGTACTGGCCAGTAGTGCAATCCAGGAAGCGCCTTTTGTCCTATTTAGGACTCGTCAGCTGGATGTACCTCCTGGATTCCACTGCTAGCCATCATCCATCGTAATATAGTACAAACATAGGCAATATCGAGGCATCCGCGCAGGAGCCCGTACGCAGAGACTCGTCAATTCGATCCACTCAACAACGGGATACTGCAAGCAACTACACTGAAACTATACCCGTTACACATGAAGCGGCTATCGTGACTCGGTTGTCTGGTGGATAACGCTCTGCTGTTTGAAGGGAGGGATCCCGACTACTAGTGAAGTCAGGTAAGTCCAACTGACAGGTCCTAAGTCGGACAGCATGCATGTTTTGGATTCCACTGCTAGTCATTATGCTTCGTTAATACTTGACAAGTGATTTACACTACAGTGCTTAGCCAATAAATCGTGGATTGAAATTAAGTTCTGTTTGATAAAGACAAGATAAAAAAATTCATATCTGCGATCTCCGTATAATTTAACATATGCCTTTGCAGATTGTTCCTATGTCACAGTAATTTTCATAATTAGTCTTAGATGGCTGTTTTACTACTACAGTACCACCGAAGGGTCTTTTCGTGTATATAAAAGCAAGAGGTCTAACGGTAGAAAGAAGTGTCGAAAAAGTTTTGTTAGTTAGCCGGCGTGAAACCATTTTGTACCATCTGCATACAAATCAGTTTAGATGATAACTGTCATATTCGTGACATCGACCAAAAACTGTGGAACCAATACCAATGGCGAGTTTAGGCATGGAGTCATAGACGGAAGGGGTCAGTTATTTGGTGATGTAGCCAGCCGTCAACGACTTAGATAGCTGGGATAGTTTGCTACTCCTTTGCAAAATGCGACGCCCCAGGTCACTTCCTGGGTTGCCAGCCTCGAAATACTGAGGTGGCTGAGTTAATGTTGAAAAATGTCGAAAGCTCCGGGCTAGACGAAAACTTGAACTCTCTGACTTGGTCCGAACGACGAAGAGAAATGTATGCTTATATTGATTAGCCTCTGGAGAGTAGCCAGACTCATGTTGTATTGTCCTCAGTCCTAACCAAACTCTACCAATCATCTTATAATGTGGTCATCAAGATCGGAGAGTCAACATCGTGGAACACATTTTGATTGATATTAAGCGATTGGAAGCAATCGACAGAAAGCCATGGACCTGAATTTCCTGCTTGTAGGTACTGGTCAGCAAGATATATCCGCATCTTCGAGGAAACTAATGTCTCTCCAGATATTGGTACTCGATTCACCTACTTCCGTAGTCAGAAATCCTAACTAGCTATTCAAATTATCCTGTTGGTGAATGCCAACAAACATGAAAGTTAGGTGGAGTGGGGCTTCCTACCGATTGGCTCCAACCAAGTAACATTGAAGTGAAGATATACTTCCTGGTTGGGATGTGTGACAATCAAAATCGCAGATTGGAGACTCTGGGTGGTATGTTTCAGAATAGGTTTCGGTGGATCAGATGCATTCACATCTTACCTGCGTCTTGATCGTCAGACCAAACTCCACTGTATCCTCTAGTCATTTTTGTTCTCATCTTCTGGCTTTCTAGGTAGTTTATCATATTATTTCCTCTGTTTTCTCCCATCGTGTTGTATTATATCCAAAGTTGAAGTGTTGTAAGCTACACCGTTATGCAGTAATGCCATGCACTATTGCGTGACTCAAACAACTACCGACAAGCAAATAATTTATACTTTGGAAATGGTAAGTTATAGTAGCTGAAAATTTCTTTCACTAACAACTTCACATCAACGTGAAGCTCATAGCGACTGAACGATTCTTAAATTTCAGTCGTTTTATTTTTTAACTCTTTAGGACTCTCCACAATATTATAATTGACTTCAAGTTTTTACCGTTGGTTTGTGACATTTCATATTGGCGGACAAAATCAACTTAGGACCTCACACCATTAGTGCGTCGGTTCAGGTTGCCACACTTCAGAGCAGCATCCAAAGAGCAATAGGATGGAGAAAGACTGACATCAAAGTAGACAAAGCTATGTGTGGGAACTAAGAAATTCAAAATCAAGACAAGCGAAAATGTCCAAGCTTTAGGAGACGTCAGAGAGCAAATACATCTGTGCCATTGTGACCAATTTCCAGCCATATCAACAAGGCTATCAAACTGTTCATTCCTATGACTCTTGACAGACATTCTATGCTCCCGTCTACGCAGCTCAAACCAACAGCCAAAGACTTCATGGACTGGTGCCACGTGTTAGTCTGGCTACCCTGAGCTGCCTTCTGACCTAATCGGATTACTGCTAGCGTTGCACGTTGAGGTTGTTGGTCTTGGCTCGGCATTCACGTAGATGTCCAAGCCACATCAGTGGCCATATGCTTACAACCTTATCGACCGCCTTCTCTACCATGCCTGGAAACCTTCGCCCAACTTAAGAATTACTCACATAGTGATTCTGTCATAGGTGAGCAGTGTTGCGAAGACATCTGTGTTCGGAAACATCTACTTTCAACAGCCACGTCTCACAGCCATATAACAGGAAAGAATGAACTGCATCACAACATACTCATACTTTTATAGGCTTTCGGATATCTCAGCAGTCAGTACCAGAGATGATGTGAGTTGGCAAATGCCAAACGAACCTTCTGTATCTCAGCTGAGATTTTGTCAGCAATCAGCCCGTTTGAAGTGGTGAGACTCTCAGAGTAAGCGAAGGGGTCGACGCATTTCATCACTTCGCTCCCTATCCTCAAACTAAGAGTAGTTGCTGTCTAGTCGTGGAGCATCATCCTGTCTTTAAAATGTGCAAAGCGCATGCCTGTCAAATGTACTCAGATTTCTGCTCAAGACATTCAGAAGATCCTGCAGTTTGCCAGTGTCTTCACCTAGTATGAAAATGTCGTCTGTATACGCGAAGTCAACCAGATACCCTCCAGGGAGTAGATCAATCTCTTTGAATTAAGAAGAATCTAAGGCTATTTCCATTATTGCATCTATAGTGAAGCTGATCAAGAACGGTGACGGTCGGCATCACTGGTGGAAACCACTCACTAGTTGTCAATTCAGATGACAACTCTCTATAAGCCCTCACATGACTGCATGAATTCGAGTAGGCGCCTTTGATTGGCGTTACATACTTGCTCAGTAATGCTTTCACCGTCGAACACTCCCACGAAACCTCGCAGTCAACGAAGTTAATTCCCGCTTATAGGTTAAGATAATTACATAGTTCTGGTTGCCGGCACGAATCCCTGTGTTCCAGAACCTGTCGGAGTGTGGGGATCTGACCAAAGCATTCTTGTCAAGGTTTGAAGCCTGCTTGGTTTTCTCGAGCTCCAGTTAGGCGTTTGGTAGCGATGGAGTCTAAGGTCTTCGACGCAATGTGAGTTGAACAGATTACGCCATTGATTGTCACAAGAAGACTTGGATCCTTTCTTCTTGACTTGCGAAATTAGTGGAGAAGACCCGTTGGACAGGGCTACCTGTGATTCCCATTGGCTACGTAGTAACTCCGTCCCTATGTTCAGTAAAATAGCAAGTCATGCCATTAGACTAACTGCTAGCTAACCGTCAAATTCTGCTGCGTTGCATCGCATCACGTTTGAAACAACTTTCTCAACTTCGAAGAGAGTTGGAGGAATAAAATAAACGTCCCTCTCAAATCTGCCCTGGACTGTTCTTCAAAGTGTTCGCCCAAAGTTCTAACAGCTCGTCCTGTGAAGTCATCAGGATCCCAATCGTTTTGTCGTCAGTTTCACTAACCATGGTCTTCTTCCTGCAAGCACCCTTAAAAAGCTTAAATAATTCATGAGTATCACCTAGTGTTAACGCTCTCGCCTTCATCAGACACCACCGGTCGAGATCAATGCGAAAACTCTTAGTCGATTCACGTTTGAGCTGCTTTTGCCCTTCACTGTGGTCAGAGACAGGTGA